AGGGAGCCCGATGCGGGGCTCGATCCCAGGACCCTGGGATCATGACCTGGGCCGAAGGCAGACGCTTAACGACTGAGCCACCCAGGCGCCCCAGCATTAGGTGTTTTAGTCCAGGCAGGCAGCTGTTTAAGAAACCATACTGCAGAGTTCACTCACAGACTATCAGTTTCCAAGTAGCTGCAGCAACTACAGAGCTGGAAGAATCACAGTTGAGGTGTAATGGTGCTGGATCAAAGGACCAAAAGACGGTCTTTAAACTTTGCCAGGGATAGGAAATGGGCTGAGAGTGGTGAAAGCCTCACTCTTGGGGGATGTCTTCTATGTACTTAAACTGGATTAAGAAGATCCCTATTACCAAGGTAGCCCCAGAAAAGTGGAAGGGAACCAAATGCTCCCAGGAGAACTCATAGATCTTTGCTGTTCTGATGAATCCATCTTGGCCCTTCAGAGTTTAAACCGCTTACTTGATTTTGACATCCTGAAAATGTTGAATATGTCACAGCTCCATCTAGATGGCTACTGTCACCATTCCTTTGCCTTTTGATATTCCAGGTTGACAGTATAAGTCTGGGGTCCATCTCGGTAAGGAAGGTCATTGACAAACATAAAAAGGAAGAAAATCGGTGTGTGGGGTGGTTTTCCCTCAGAAGACTGAAAAAGTGGCCTTTTACAACTTGGCTCTTTGTTCCCTCAAATTTATACTATTCTTTTGAATAATAGGGGTATCTTGCCGGCTTAGTTGGTAGAATGTGTGACTCTTGATCTTGGGGGTTCTAAGTTTGAGCCCCACATTGGGTGTAGAGATTACTTAAAAATAAGATCTTAAAAAAAAGGAATATAATTTCACTCACTTTCTTTTAGATGGCAAGTGAAAGCCAATTAATGTTTGTGATTTGGGATAGATGAAAGCCAAGGACATGGGGGCAAAATTAGGCTCAGTGGTTATTATAGCTTTGATCACTCTTCCTTGCTAATCTTTATTCTTCATTTTGGCAGAAAGGAAAGGACTTTGGATATTTTCCCAGAGATGCAGTCCAGATTGAAGAGGTGTTCATATCTGAGGAAGTTCAGATATCAACTAAAGTGAGTATTAATAACATTTCTGTTGTTAATTGAATTTAAAATTTCTTGGCTAAAGCAGTTTTCTGTAGTATAAGTGTCCATTGGTTAAGTATCTTGTATAGTGAATACATAAAATAGTTGGTCTGAGAACTCACTCTAGGAATAGAGTATGTGAATAAAATTAGGTAAGACAGAATTGATGACAGGCATACTGCTTTCTGAAAAATTTACAGACAGGTAGTAGAGTGAAGTGGTTAAGAGCATCATGGATTCTGGACTGAGTTCAAAGCCTGACTGTGGCCTTGTATGCCTTAATTTTCTAATCTGTAAAATGAGGATGATGATTATAATATAGTGCTACTTTTTAAACTTATTGGGGAAAAATGAACATATGTAAAGTATATAGAACAGCACTTAGTAAGTGCTATATAAGTATTAGATATTATTACTAATGTTATTATCCCACTGGGACAAAATTTATTTCTCATCACTCTCTCTAGGTCTCATAACTGTACAATTTCTTTTTTCTGTTGAGTTTTAAATGAGCTTGATAATGTTGGGTTTGATAATGTTGGGCTTGATAATGAGAAAAGGAATCAGAAAGTGACTTTTCAATATGTAAGTTTGATAAGCCCATTTAATTCAGATTCCAGGTAAAGGCAACTTACCTTAAATAAGGTCAATGTGAAGTGAGTTAGCCTAGTCAAGAAAACTGTCTATTTGGCTCTTTCCCATCATAAATTCTGGGATTAACAGTCAATTTAATGTATAATTACTGGTCCTGTCAGTTTTATCTCCAAAATATATATGGACTATATTGTCTTCTTGTCATTTTCACTCTGCCTATACCCCTAATCCAAGGTCTCATCATCTCTTGGTAAGAATACTGCAATATTGGTCTCCTTGCCTCTACTGTTGTCCTCTTCCAATTCATTCTCCAAACAGCAATGGATCTCATAAGAACAAAACAAAACAAAATAAAAAATCAGAGGTCATTCCTTTGGTTTAAAGCCTGTTAATGACTTTCCATTGAACCTAGAATCAACCTACTCTGGCTCTACATGATCTGCTCCTGTCCTCCACCCCCATCCCAATGACCCTGACACTTCTCTCCCCTCACTCACTATGCTCCTGGCCACACTCGCCTATTGACTGTTCTTAGAACATGCCAAACACTTTCCTAGTCCAGAGACCTAAACAGGCTGCTCCTTCTGGTTCAAATGCTTTCCCCAGGTTCTTCACTTAGCTAGTTCCTTCTTATTCTTTACATCGCCATGTAAACATAAGTGCCTCAGAAAAGCCTTCCATGATGATCTTCGTGGAACTACTGCATCTTAATCACAGATTCCTCTTTATTTCCTCCATAGCACTTACCACAATTCATAATTACTTTTTTCCTTTTGTTGACTGTAGAATTTCAGCACCTAGCACAGTGTATAGCATATAGTAAGCTTACAGAAGCCCTACATTCTTAGGTCAAGTTCCCTGGGAAATAGACTCTGAGGTAGACCTTTACACCCAAGAAGTTTACTGGGGTGTAATACTCTTAGGAATAACACTTGTGAAAGACCAAAAGAAAAAGCAGGATTGCACAGAGAAGTTGAACTGTGATGCAGTTGCAACAAAGGTCTCAGTTGATTCCATAAGGAACTCTGAACCTGGGATGGCCTTTCAGAGTTGCCTTGAATAGAGACAAGGTGTTGGGTCTTTTTACCCTTACATTACTGGCTCATCTAGGGTAGTGTAACTTGGGCCAGGTTAGGCTAGTGTTTACTACAGACAGTTACTATTCTAAGCACTTCATTCATTTAATCCTCACAACACAACACCCCTATAAGATAGGTACTGTCATTATCCTCATTTTACGGATGAGGAGATTGAGGCATAGAAAGGTCATATAATTCACCCAAGTTCACAGAGCTAGTAAATGGCAGGGTCAGGATTTAAACCCAGACAGTTGGCTCCAGAGTCTGTTCCCAATCACATACTATACTGCAGTGTCTAAAACATTGTAAAATTTCAGTTTTGAAGTTTACTTTTTAAAAATTCTGAACTTTATTCTCATTTCATAATGATCATATCCAAAGAGCAGCACATCTCACTGTTTCATACCTTCAGATTAAAAAATAGTAAGTTTGGGGCACCTGGCTGGCTCAGTTGGTAGAGCATGCAACTCTTGATCTCCAGGTCGTGAGTTCAAGCCCTACATTGGGTGTGAAGCCTACTGAAAATAAAATTTAAAAAAATATTAACTTCACCATTTTTCTTCTTGATGATCTGGTTGTTCTGTGAGATGAACAAGAGGATTACCCACCGCAATTGGCCATATACAGTGTTCAATAAAAGAAGTCTAAATGTTGTAGTGCAACTTTTTTTTTTTAAAGATTTTATTTATTTGACAGAGATAGACACAGCAAGGGAGGGAACACAAACAGGGGGAGTGGGAGAGGGAGAAGCAGGCTTCCCGATGAGCAGGGAGCCAGATGCGGGGCCGATGCGGGGCTCAATCCCAGGACCCCGAGATCATGACCTGAGCCAAAGGCAGCCGCCCAACGACTGAGCCACCCAGGCAACTTTTAACAAGGCCTTCATGCTTTAGAATCTCTGGGCTGTCTGAGCTGTCACCATGTGCTGTGAAACTCCCCTCTCTCAAATCACCACACAGCTGCATGTGTCTGGTTAGTGTACTCTTAAAAGAAGCAAGATTTTGTGGACCTGTATGCCTTTTCATCAAGAGTTTATTTCCAGAATATAGTCAAAGCCTTGATTTTTCATTTAGATTTATATCATTGACCCTGAGTCAGTTGTGATATAAATGTTTGAGATTAGGAGATCTGATTTTAGTTTTTGTTGTGCTGCATAGTCATCTATTTTAAGTGATTTAGGGAGAAACAAGGAATTTTAGTATATTTATGTCAATCAATTTTTCTCTTGTAGGAATCTGATTTTCTTTGTCTTCTTGGAGTAAGTTACACATTTGAAAATGAAGACAGTGAATTAAACAATGATGATGGCAAAAATATATGTCCATATGAAGAAGATAAAGACCAAAAATCTAGTGTATATGAAAGTGACTTTCAGACAGAATCTGGATTTTATTCAACTTCTGAAAGTACTTTGTTTGAAGATCAGTTTCCAGTATCAGAAGCTCCTGAAGATGTCAGAAGTACTAGTGAATCAAAAGACTGGGAAGCAGTGGAAGCTGGAAGTATGGAAGAGGATTATGTTCCAGAAGTGGATCACATCCCACCATCCTCGCCTGAAGTGACAGGATGGTTTGGATTTGGAAAGGAACTAGCTGAAGGAAAGGCTTTTGAATCAGTTATTGAACCTCTACAAGAAAGTTCATTTCAAAGTAGAAAAATAGCAGGAGAAGAGGAGAATGACCTAGAGGAATTAAATAATGATGAACCCCAAACAGAACAAAAGCAAGAACCTGAATTGGAATTCAATTCAGTGCCAAAGAAACAGTCTGAACTAGGTTCTGAGTCAGAGAACATTATCAGTCCTGAAGCCACTAGTTGGTTTGGGGGTGGTTTTAAAAGTTATTTAGGTTTTGGAGGTGAGTATACAGGGCTTGAATTATTGTCCAAAGAAAGCGATCCACCACTACAAGATGTTCCTAATTCCTTATCATCTGAGGAAGAACCCACAGTTCCATGCACAGAAATATTAACAGAAAAAGAAGACACAATCGTCAATGATACCTCAATTCTCAAGCCAAGTTGGTTTGATTTTGGTTTTGGTATGCTAGGCTTTGTATATAACAATGAAGATAAAATTATATCAGATGATGGAAAAAGTGAAGAAGGAAGTGGAGGAGATAAACATGAACGTCTTCCAACAAGTAAATTTGACCCTGATAAGGAACAAGAAATAAAAACAATAGAAATTATGGAAGCTGAAGAGCAAGTAGGAAAGGAAAGAGTCCTAGAGAAAACAGATGATTCTGATACCTTACCATATTTTAAAAAGTTTTTATATAATTGGAACTTCCAGGACATTCCAAAGGAAATAGAATTGCAATTTTCCAAACAGATACAGGATGAAAATAATGTAATTGAAAATGATGAAACAGAAGAATTTTCAGCTGAAAATTATCACACAGATAATATGGAAGTTATGATGCTGAAAAGCAGATCCAGTCCATCAGGTTCGTATAAAATATCTATAATTTTATTTATTTATTTATTTAATTTATTTATTTGACAGAGAGAGAGGGAGAGTGCACAAGCAGGGGAGCAGCAGAGGGAGAGGGAGAAGCAGGCTCTCTGCTGAGCAGGGAGCTCAGGACCCTGGGATCATGACCTGAGCGGAAGGCAGACACTTAACCGACTGAGCCACCCAAGCGCCCCTAATATAATTTACTTTTTTAAACATAATTATTTTTATCAGTACAAATCGGATAAAAAAGTCCAGAAATCCATGTTTCTCAGTATACTCAATAATTAACAACAACCTTATCAACTACCCTTTTATTAATTTCTGGTTTACTCTGGGACTTAGATCTTAATATTATAAAATAAAATACTATGGAAGAAAGAATGGAGATACACAGCTGTTCCAAGAAGATCTTAAGGTAGCTTACAATATATTTTTATTTGTATTGAAGTAGTATATGTTAACAGGTTTAAAAATATAAATAGTACTAAGGCTATTTTTTTCTTTTTTTTTTAAGGATTTTATTTATTTATTAATTTGACACAGAGAGACACAGTGAGAGAGGGAACAAAGCAGGGGTAATGGGAGAGGGAGAAGCAGGCTTCCTGCTGAGCAGGGAGCCTGATGCGGGGCTCCATCCCAGGACCCTGGGATCATGACCTGAGCCAAAGGCAGATGCTCAAACAACTGAGCCACCCAGGTGCCCCAAGGCTATTTTTCTTTTTAAACAAAAGCAATTTCTGTTCCCTGTGTCCATCTCTACTCTAACCTTTGTTCCAGGAACAGTAATTTCTTTCTTTCTTTTCTTTTTTTTTTTTTTTGAAGCAAATTTCTTTTAGTATTTATCTCTATTTTCTAAATAAAACCTTTATATTGTTCTGCTTTGATTTATATTAGATGATGTCCATTGACTTTCTATTTTGGTAAATGAGGATTTCTTTCTGCTCATTTACATTAACTTTTTAGCTCATTAACACCTTCCCAGTATAACTGTATTTGAATGGTTTTCTCTCAATTCTGGGAGCTCAAGAGTAGGCAATGGAAGAGGGCAGAGTATCAGAGGATACTTCTAGATCTAGATGTCTAGGTATCTAGTAATTCCTATGATTAAAAACCTGTGGATTCTATTTTTTTTTTAAGATTTTATTTATTTGAGAGAGAGAGAATGAGAGAGAGCACATGAGAGGGGGGAGGGTCAGAGGGAGAAGCAGACTCCCTGCCAAGCAGGGAGCCCGATACGGGACTCGATCCAGGGACTCCAGGATCATGACCTGAGCTGAAGCAGTCGCTTAACCAACTGAGCCACCCAGGCGCCCATGGATTCTATTTTAAGTAAAGAATTATATAACATGACTTTCCCACATCTCCATTCTGATGTCTCTCTGATGGACAGATTAGGAACTCCGCAAATATTGCCCAATAATACAGGAATGATTGAACCCTAGAATAACAGATAGCCTTTCACAAGAAGAGATCAACAGTGTTGCAAACTCAGATGAAAACACATTTATTTCCATCAGAAATGGTTGATTTTCTTGAATTTCCAGAAGAACTATATGTCATTTCTTAATATGCTCCAAAAGTGAACTCTTTACTTAATTAATATCCTTAACCAGAATGTATGCTTAGATTCTTCCCCTTTTCTAAATGAGAAAGGTGTAGGCGTGATGCTTTTTAATGACTAAAAATATTAAAGACCTAGATTGCCAAAGGCAAAGAGGAAATTATTTTGTTCTACACTTGTTAGATCCTAAAGGAATATTTATGAAAAAGCAGATAAGAGTAATTGGGAAGAATAAGTGAGACTAAAATAAAGCAAAACAGGGCGCCTGGGTCGCTCAGACTGCCTTCAGCTCAGGTCAGGATCCTGGAGTCCCAGGATCGAGTCCCACATCGGGCTCCCTGCTCGGCAGGGAGTCTGCTTCTCCCTCTGACCCTCCCCCCTCTTATGCTCTCTCTCTCTCTCTC